ATATATATATATATATATATATATATATATATAAAATGGAGTATTATTCCAGCCATCAAAAAGCATATCTTGCCATTTGCAATGACATGGATGGAGCTAGAGGTATTATGCTAAGTGAAAAAAGTCATCCAGAGAAAGACAAATACTATATGATTTTACTCATATGTGGCATTTAAGAAACAAAACAGATGAATATAGGGGAAGAAAGAAAAAAAAAGGAGGCAAACCATAAGAGACTCTTAACTATGGAGAACAAACTGAAGGTTGCTGGAGGGCAGGTGGGCAGGGGATGGAGTAAACAGGTGATGAGTGTTAAGGAGAGCACTTGTTGTGATGAGGACTGGGTGTTTTATGTAAATGATGAATCATTAAATTCTACTCCTGAAACCAATATTATACTATATGTTAGCTAACTAGAATTTAAATAAAAACTTGAAACAAACAAAGATGTGGTATCTACAATGAAATATTATTCAGCCATAAAAAATGAAATCTTGCCATTTGCAACAACATGGATGAAGCTACAGAGTATAATGTAAGCAAAATATGTCAGAAAAAGACAAATATCATAGGATTTCACGCATATGTAGAATTTAAGAAACAAAACAAATGAGCAAAGGAAAAAAAAGAGAGAGAGAGAGATAGACTCTTAACTATAGAAAACAAACTGATGGTTACCACAGAGGAGGTGGGTAGGGGGTGTGGGTGAAATAGGTGAAGAGACCACTGACCATTTTTTTTTTACCTCTTTTGTTTGTTTGCTTCAAGTTTTTATTTAAATTCTAGCTAGTTAACACATAGTATAATATTAGTAACATTAGAGAATGTTCTGAGAGTGTAATAAGACTAAGAAGTTAAATAGAAAGAAAACTCCTTCTACTCTTTCAATAAATAATTCTAGAATGAAAGCTTTTTGTCCTGCACAGGGTTTTGAGAGAAAATTTATAACAAAACGCCAACTATATACAAAGAGCGTCAGGTTATATTCATGTCTTATTTTATTTTATTTTATTTTATTTTATTTTATTTTATTTTTAAGGATTTTATTTATTTATTTGACAGAGAGAGAGAGCAGGAACTCAAGCAGGGGGAGTGGGAGAGGGAGAAGCACCCAAAGTGGGGCTTGAACTCACAGATCACCACATAAAAAAACTCAGAGAGGGGCGCCTGGGTGGCTCAGTTGGTTAAGCGACTGCCTTCGGCTCAGGTCATGATCCTGGAGTCCTGGGATCGGGTCCCGCATCGACCTCCCTGCTCAGCAGGGAGTCTGCTTCTCCCTCTGACCCTCCCCCCTCTCATGCTCTCTCTATCTCATTCACTCTCTCAAAGAAATAAATAAAATCTTAAAAAAAAAAACTCAGAGAGAACAAAAAATACTATTTCTAATAAACAAAATGAAAAATAAAAATTTAGTGATGTGTTACAATGAGTATATGAAGATCAGATAGAGCTTTGTCTCTGCGTCTGGGCATATGCGTATGGTTTGGAACAGATCCACTTCCTCTCCGTGTAATGCCTAGCACTACTGGCACCTTTGTCATTCAAATAGGCACATTCTCCTCCTCCTCTGATAGGAAAACTGCAATGGGAGAAGCAGAATCAATCAGTTGGCCACCAGATATTTCTCCAAAAGCAAAGGGAATAAAGATGAGAAAATAAGGAAACTAACATTAATTCAGCCTCTAAATATAAGATGCATTACACACATCATCTCTTTAATATTAAAAATTACCCTCTGAGATATATATCATCTCTTTTTATGGACAAAAACAACAACAACAACAAACAAACAAACCAAAACAACAGAATTTTCCAAGATTCTATAACAAGTAAAACTATGATTCATGCCTAAATCGATGAAAATACAGGGCCCATGCTATTCCCATCTTCTTCAGTTTGGGAAAGAGAAGAGGGAAGAAATGCTGCTATATTACAGGTAATTTTGTTGTTGTTGTTCTTGGGTCCTGATTTTCTCCTGTGGTATTCATCAGCATTTAAATGGCCTGACACAGACATCTGGGTCAGCATTTAGACTATAAGTTTTTCCTCTGTATTGTGTGAAATTGCTATAGCGTGACATGATTTGCGATTGTTGAGACAAGCTAGCCCCTAATAAGTAAATAGTTAATAATATCTTTTCTCCTTTAAACACTTACAGAATTAGATGAAGTTAACATTACTATTTCAGTATTATAGAGGAAGAAGTAAAGGTTAATACCAAATATTTAACAAGCATCCACAATGTGCTAGGCACTGCACATACAACAGTGTGTAAATATGAGTTCTAACTCCTAAAATTTAACATCTGTCCAAGATCAAAAAGCTACTAGGTAACAACTAGTTTTCAGAACTATCGATGTCTTACCCAGTGCCCTTTTCACCAAATAAAGTGATATTTCCAATGCTGAGTACTTTTGATAACCTCATAAAGCAACTTTTCAAAACCTCCTCATGTCCTCAGACAAGAAAACATTAGCAACATTGTCTGAATCCAAGTCTTCCAACATTATCCAAAACTTTTCCAGTAATATAAAGATCCAATAGATATATGATTGAGATTAAGTTTGACAATGCCAAACTGTACTTGTGCTAAACATTATAATTATGATCTTATAAATAATGGATGCCATTACCATCATTCATCCTTATGTAAATGGTTGAAGATTGATGCAATGATAGTTTAATGTAAAAGTTTAACTTCCATTTATATAAGATTTTAAAGTTTAAGTAGTGCAGCCATATACATCAAAATCTCTGATTCTCCATCAACCCTGTGAGATCAATCAAGCAAGTACAATTAATTTTGTTGTAGAGGTAAGCAACAGACTTAAAGATAGTGTGTAGTTTGCTCAACATGAAAGACTTGGTCAATGACATAGAGGAGGTTGTTGTCAAGTTCACCGTTCTAGCATGCCACATATTATAAGTTTTGTATTGGTTGGAGGGGCTTTCAAAACCTCTGCCACCTACAATTTTTCACTTTTTTTCTTTATAACTAATCTTAAAATAAAATTTTTTAGAGGATATAATTGGAGAACACGTTTGGTTTCATGCAACGTAAATCCAAATCCAAATATTGCTATCATGTTTTTCAGAACTTACCAGCTGGTCCATTCAGTGCCATTTATCCATTTCCATGGTTGGCCTTGTTCTCTGCTGAGCCCAATCCAGTGGTCATAAGGGCCTTTATACCTCAATAGGAAATTCTTTTAGAAAACAAAGATGACATGAGTTAACCTGTCATTATCTGGCCTCTACCAGAAGAAGTGTTGCTTCTATGCTATATTCTTTTTTTTTAATATTTTATTTATTTGACACAGAGAGAGAGCACAAGCAGGAGGAAGTGGCAGAGGGAGAAACAGACTCCCCGCTGAGCAGGGAGCCTCATGCGGGGCTCGATCCCAGGACCCCAGGACCGTGACCTGAGTCAAAGGTAGACACTTAACGGACTGAGCCACCCAGGTGCCCCTCTATGCTATATTCTTAACTGCTCTTATAATTTTCTCCTTTTTAATTTTGTATTGTTTAATAATACAGAGATAATAGATATGCCATAGTAGCATACACACATAAATATTAAAACTGAGAGAAATTACTGATAATTTGCTTTTAATTCAGCATAGTGCCACTTTGTATTAATATTCCACAATTTGTTTATCTGTTCTATTATTGGTTTCCACTAGCATTATTTCAAGTTTGAAGTTATTATGAATGCTGTTATGACATTCTTGGCACCTGTCCTGGAATGAATGATCAGGTCACAATGAATACGTATTGTCAATTTCACCAAATGACACCAAATTCTTCTCTGATGTCATTGTAAGAAATTATACACACCAGCATTTTAGGCCAGTTTTCCATGCTACACATCTTTGTTAACACTTGGAGCATCTTTTTATGATTACAAGTATTAATTTCAATATAATTAAATGTATGATTTTCCTCTATGATCAGTGGATTTAATGACTTCTTAGGGAAATTTTTACCTTTAAGTCATAAATATGATATTTATTTTTGCTTTTCCTTGAGATATACAGTTGGGATACTGATTTTAAATATTTTTTTTCTTTAAGATATGCATTTACAGCTCTAAATTTCCCTCTTAGTTTTGCTTCTACCACATATCTTAAGTTTTGGTATGTTGTGTTTTCATCTCATTTGTCTCAAGGTATTTTCTCATTTCCCTTGTGATTTCTTTCTTGTTCACTGGATGTTTAACAATGAGTTTAATTTCTACATATTTGTGAATTTTCCAGTTTTCCTTCTGTTGTTGATTTCTAGTTTCATTCCATTGTGACTGCAAAAATAACTTTATATGATTTCAGTCTTCTCAAATTTAATGGCCAAAGCTTCCCAAAGTTGAGGAAGGAGATGAATATACGTGTCCAAGAGCCTCAACAAACTCCGAAGCAAGATAAATTCAAAGAAATCCACACTAAGACAAATTAGAGTCAAGTTGTCAAAACCCAAAGAGAGAAATTTGAAAGCAGCAAGAGAAGGGACTAGTCAGGTGTTGGGATCCTGAGTAAGATTAACAGCTGATTTATCCTGAGATACTATGGAAGCCAGAAAGCAGTGGAATTACATATTTTAAATCCTGCAAAAAAACCTGCCTGTCAAGAATTCTGTATCTGTCGGGACACCTGGATGGTTCAGTTGGTTAAGAGTCTGCCTTAAGCTCAGGTCATGATCCCAGAGTCCTGGGATTGAGTCCTGCATTGGGCTCCTTGCTCAGCGAGGAGCCTGCTTCTCCCTCTGCCTGCTGCTCTCCCTGCTTGTGCTCTGTCTCTCTCTCTGAAAAAAAATAAAATAAATAAAATCTTAAAAAAAAGAATTCTGTATCTGTCAAAACAATCTTTCAGAATAGGGGGAAAAAATAAGATACTTCTAGACAAATAGCAGCTAAGGGAGTTTCTTAGCAGTAGACCCATCCTTAAGCAACTATTAAATCTGAAATTAAAGTACATTAGATAGTAACTCAGAGCCAAAATAATAAAGAACACTCATAAAGGTAACCACACAGATAAATATAAAAGCCAGTATTACTATACTCTTGGTTTAGTTTGTAACTTCTCTCTTTTCACATATGATTTAACAGGTGAATTCATAATACAATATTATAGATCTATGTTAATGGGCATACAATTCTCCTACTTTTTTTCTTTTCCCTCTGAGATCCCTACAATGCATATATTGGATTGCTTGATGATACTACAGTTCCTTCAGGATCTGTTCATTTATTTTGGGTTTTTTTTTTCTTTTCTTTCTAGTCCCAAAATGGGATACTTTCAATTATCTTCAAGTTTGCTGACCCTTCCTTCTTCCTGTTCAAATATGCTTTTGACACCTCTAGTGAGTTTTTCATTTCAATTATTGTACTTTTCAGCTCCAGAATTTCTATTTGGTTCCTTTTAATAATTTCTACTTCTTTATTGACATTCTCATTTTTGTTATATATCCTTTTCCTGATTTCTTTTACTTTTTCTGTCTATGGTTTTCTTTAGCTCATTGACCGTATTTAGTACAGTAGATTTTACATCTTTAACTAATATTTCCAATGTCTGGGCTCCCTCAGGGATGGTTTCTTTCAGATATATCTCCCTGTGAATGGGTTATGTCTTCCTATTCATCTGTATGTTTTGTAATTTCTTTGTTCAGAACTAGACATTATGAATATTTTATGGTGTTAACTCTGGGAATATAATTCTTTTCTTCAGAGATTGTTGAATTTTGATTATTGAGATTTGGAGCCACTGTCTGTGACTTTTCCTAATAATTTTTGCAAAATGTGTATTCCTTACTGTGTGTGGTCACTGAAATTTTTATTCTGTTGTTTCTATGGTCAGTTCCCTGCCAAAAATTTTCTTAAATGCCTGGCTCCCAAAAGGGGAAAAAAACAAGTACTGTTTCTTTAAATTCCTTGGAAATCACTTCAGTTGGTAGAAGCCCACCTCTGTATCTGCCCCTCGGCAATGAAAAGCAGCACTCAAAAATAACAGCACATAACCACAATATTTGAAGAACAATGTTCTTATTGGCCATCCTGGATCCAGCAAGTTTTACCAGGAACATGGCCAGAAGTCTCCATATCTCCCAGCCACGATGAGGTGTGGGGAATTGTAGCCACTGCATGGGAAAGCTGAAATTCACTGGGATTAAGTGAAATTTACTAACCTCTTCATTAAGTTATCCCTTGGATGCTGCAAGACTCCAGAGTTCCAACTCAGTTACTTGAGAGAGTTTCTGCCAGCTCAATAGTTGTTTAGGTACAGACTCCAGGAGCTTTCTACTCTGCCATCTTCTCTGATATCACTCCTGCCTGATTCATTTTGAAGCAATGTTAACTTAATACAACTTAAAATTATGTTTCCCTCTCTAATTGTCTAATTCTATTTGCACACTTCTTGCTCATAAGTCAAAGAAAGCACTGGCTTGCTCTCTGGCCACCCTCCTGCTATGAATGTTAAGGTAACTGTAGATGGCCCACTGTAGAATGTAGCATCTGCTGGCTTTTCTCTCATGTTATAAATCAAAATCTAGGCAGGTATCTAAACCTGTATTTTAGATATTCTCACATAGAATTACATAGCATATTGGAAGATCCAATTTTTTTATTCTAGGTAGAACTATTTTCTTACCAGTTCCTGGATAGTTTCAACCTGAACAAGATCAGCACCATGTGAGTCACAAAACCTCTGGCTGAATGTCCAATTCTTGATGTCATCAGAAAAATAGAAACACTTTCTTTGGAAACCAATCCAGGTTTCTGGGCATGCGGCTTCAAAACACTCTGATGATATCTGATGCAATTTTCTTCCAGTTACTAAAAATAAAAACAACTTGCTTTTATATTTTCCTATATATATTACCAAGTGCTTTCTAATACACTTTTCAATAGTCATGTGAAATACTAAATGTATTATCCTTATTTTTCAAATGAGGAATAGAATTTTGAAAGTCATTGCATATATTACACAGCAAACGTCAAAGCTAAGATTCAAGTAATGCCTTAGTTAGTGGATGAATTGAAAAAAGAATAAATAATGCCTTAAACTCTGGACTATATACTTGTCTACTTGGATTTCAACAATGTTACCTTTCCTTAAAATATTAGGTACATCAATAGCAACATTTTATCAGCCTTAGAGAACAGATAGTTCAAGAGCTCTAGATGCTTTCCTAAATAAAATGAGGTGCAGGGTATAGATACCTTTTGTGAATAGTTTCTTGAGATGAAATGGTCGGATACATGTCTAAAGAGTCCCATGAGGGTAAAAGAAGTAGTTTTAGCCTGAGCATTCTTCTACTAAGTAGAAGGCTACTAAGGAAATTTTGTGATGCTTTCTATATTTTGAAGCTGACAATACTCCATTGGACAGGCTTTTCTGATACACTTCCCATATAACCAGGAGAGATGCTCTCTTCAAGTAGGATTCAGAGCATGGAAAGTTTCTTCAGATGGTCTTTATTGATCCATTAGTAGCTGACTCTTCCACTTCTATGACCATTTTCTCCTATTTACAGCTTCTTTATTAAGTAATGCTAATTTAAATCTCTATTTTTGCTTCATCAATATATAAGGTATTTTATTTGGGGTTATAGAATGGCAAGAATAGATCATTCGCCATGGAATCATAAAAATATTAAAAAATAAATAAGGATCCCCTGGAACATAGAATATTCCAAGCATTATTGACTCTAGGATTTGTAAGCAGCACTTGAAAAGCATGTTAGGATATTGCGTCTGGATGTAATAACAGCAGGGTAGGTTTTAGGTTATTACTCAGGTTGGGGTGGAGGTGTAGAGGAATATTCTTGTAATTTTCTACATCAAAGCTTGGCTTACATTTGCTACAGTGCAAGTGTGTTCTAAGCTATAAGGGCATCTTCATTAGCTAAACTGCTTCCAGGGTATGCAATCCAAGAAAGAATGTGTTGTCTGGGAAAACTGGCTATATAGTCCAAAAAAGTGGGGGCTGGAAGATGCTAGAATATCTGGACAAGAAGACCACAATACCTCTATGCCTGCACTGTTATACAGCCAGTTAGTAGTTTTGATATTCTCTCACCTCTATCTCTCTCTTTCCATCTGATTTGCTTGTATTCATGCAAGCATGTGTGTTATAGAAGTAAAATAAATCTTTGTCCCTGAAAACCACCATGAGTTATCACCTCACACTTGTTAAAATGGCTATTTTTTAAAAGACAAAAGACAACCAGTGCTGGCAAGAACATGGAGAAAAGGGAACTGTTGTACACTGTTCATGAGAATATAAATTGGTATAGCCATTATGGAAAACAGTATGAAGGTTTCTCAAAAAATTAAAAATAGAACTACCTTATAATCTAGTAACCCTGCTTCTGGGGATATATCCAAAAGAAATGAAATCATTATCTTAAAGAAATATCTGCATTCCCCTATTCATTGCAGTATTATTCAAAATACCCAAGATATATAAATAATACTCAGCCTTTAAAGTGGAAGCAACCCTGCCATTTGTGACAAATTGGATAAGACTGGACGACACTGTGCTAAATCAAATAAATCAGATGCAGAAATACAAGCACTATATGATCTTACTTTATATATGGAATATAAAATAGTCAAAATCATAGAAGAGAGTAGAATGGTCATTGCTAAGGAAGGGGAAGTGGGGGAAATACTGAGATGTTGGGCAAGGGGTACCAAGTTTCAGTCATGCAAGAAGAATAAGTTCTGGAGATATAACACACAGTGTGACTATAGTTAACAATACTGTATTGTATACCTAAAATTTGCTAAGAGGGTAGATCTTAAGTGTTCTTGACAACAGAAAGGTAACTGAAGTGATGGATATGTTGATTAGTTTGTAGTGATTATTTCACATATATACAGATATCAAAACATCAAGTTATACACCTTAAATATACACAATTTTTGTCAATTATACCTTAATGACTTGGGGGAAGGGTGCAGAGATTAAACACCATGACTAAGTGCAATTAATCCCAGAATGCAAGGATTGTTCAATATACAAAAGTCAATTAACCTTGTATACCATAATAATAGAAAAAGATTAAAACACAAAACAAAAAAACTGATCATCTATATTTTGTAAGCCTCCATGTTTTTTGTGATCTCTCTTCTTTCTAATATCTCAGCCTATAGCCTCATTAATATATGGTTTAAAAATTACTGAATTCTTGGCCAATATTCAAGCATAAACACAATTTCATAAATCATACACATTCAGCTTCTACAGCTCTATTTTGATGTGTCCTCCATTAGGATCTACACATAATACCTTTGAAGCAATTTTAATTGAAAATTTAATTTCAATTATATTGTACACCTGAAAGTAATATAATGTTATATGTCTATTATAGCTCATTTTTATATATCCTTAATCCAAAGAAAATTTTTTTAAAAAGAAAATATAATTTGAGAGTAAACTGTATATATATAAATATATAAAGTATATAAATATATGTTTGTAATTAAAATATATGAGTATATAAATATATATGTATACATATAGAGTAAAACTACATGGTTAAAGGCCTAGCAATAATATAAATTAAAACACAATATGATTGGCAACTGGGTCCTACCTTATGCAGACTCTGGTTCTTCTATTAATCTTCCAATAATATGACCTCTCTATTACACAATTAAGATCTAAGACCCCACTTATAAGGTAATTGGAATTTAACTCAGTGAAATTAAACTGTAAAGAAGTGTAAAGAACAGGAAAATTATCAATAAGTCCTTTCTTCTTTTGGAAAATGGACTTCTTTAGATGAACAAAGATTACAATTCACTTACCTAACAAACTCATAATTATACCAAGCAATATAAATAACAGACATATGACTGTGGATACAACCAAGACTTGATTCAGGGTAATGGTAATAGAATGCTTTCTTGGATGCTGGTAATCTGGAAAAAAAATATTGAAAACATGTTTTTGTTTTTGTTTATGTTTCCATTAAATGCAGAACAGACATCAGACTACTAGGAGCATTAACCATCAAAATGTTACTTCCACTTCTTTCCTTTTCACTAGAGGGGGCAATTGGCCTGTCATTTTGTGAATTTACAATTTTCTCTCTCAAGTTTAATTGTTCACAGAAGTTAAAATTGCTCTTAACACACAACTAACCCATGAACAGCTTTGCACCCCTCCCAAAAAATAATCTCATTAAACTTCCAGATCCAGCTACCAATTTAATAGAAATACAAGGGAGAGAGAATCATGTCAATTAAGCAACAGGAATGAAATCAACTCCAGACTGTTGGAAATTCTACATAATAAATTATCTTGAATCTTAAAGAAAAAAGTGACAGGCAAATTTTAAAAAGCAACCATGAGGGAATCTTTTGATTAAAAGATGAATGGATAAAGAAGATGTGGTATATATACACAATGGAATATTATGCAGCCATCAAAAGGAATGAGATCTTGCCATTTGCAACGACGTGGATGGAACTGGAGGGTGTTATGCTGAGTGAAATAAGTCAATCAGAGAAAGACATGTATCCTATGACCTCACTGATATGAGGAATTCCTAATCTCAGGAAACAAACTGAGGGTTGCTGGAGTGGTGGGGGCTGGGAGGGATTGGGTGGCTGGGTGATGGACATTGGGGAGGGTATGTGCTATGGTGAGCACTGTGAATTGTACAAGACTGATGAATCACGGATCTGTACTTCTGAAACAAATAATGCAATATATGTTAAGAAAAAAAAAGAAGAAGAAGAAAATAGCAGGAGGGGAAGAATGAAGGGGAGTAAGTCAGAGGGGGAGACGAACCATGAGAGACGATGGACGCTGAAAAACAAACTGAGGGTTCTAGAGGGGAGGGGGTGGGTGGATGGGTTAGCCTGGTGATGGGTATTAAAGAGGGCACATTCTGCGTGGAGCACTGGGTGTTATGCACAAACAATGAATCATGGAACACTACATCAAAAACTAAGATGTAATGTATGGTGATTAACATAACAATAAAAAATTATTAAAGCTCTTAAAAAATTAAAGTGAGAAAATGATTCTCATAAAAATCAATTTAATGTGATTTGAGAGAATACTTGGAGGGCTTCTGAGCTGGATAACAAACTTCTTTCTCTAACAAAGACAGTATTTAACAAGGATGCTCAACTTAGAATAATCCATTAAGCTGTATATTTGTTTTGTACATTTTTCTACATTTGCATTGTATCTCAAAACATCCTGCATTATCTAAAACCTCTTGTAAATTTTATCACTGGAACTCTCTTCTGACTCCATCTTTTGGCTACTGCACATACTTTTAGCTACTTCATCTAGAGATGTTCTTGGCTAAACAGGCATATTTCTCCCTAACATTCTATCCACACTAGAAAATTTTTCATTAATGTTTACCAGATTGACCACTGGGTTGATGCACATGCAGGAAAGATATGAATAACACTACAAAGGATCCAAAAAGTGAGCTGACATTGGAATCAAAGCCCAGAGAATGCCTGAACCTAGCCAGAGTAATTGCCTGCTAAAACCAAGAACATTAATATACTCCAAAAATTTAAAGTCAAAAGTCTCACAACAAAATATTCCTTCAAAATGTCCAGAATACAGTCCAAAATTACTCAGCATATGAATAACCATGAAAATTTCAACTTTCATGGGAAAAGGCAAGAAAAGCCAAGGCTAAAATGAGACAGATGTTGGAATTATCTGACATATACTTTAAAGCAGCTGTTATAGAAATACTCAAAATACCAAATGAATAAAGAAATAAATGAAGTCATTTAACAATAATTAGAAATCATCTTTTCCTCATCTGAACTGCCTTCTCTCTAAATTGATTACTACCTCTACCAAAGACAAAAATATTTTTTTCAGTCATAAATTACAACATTTCAGTTTTCCCCAACTGGTACAAAATACCTTTTTTCACTTATTAAATCATCATATACAGCCTCAAATACAAGTGTTTTTTTAAAAGTTTCAAGCTTCATATAAATGCATAATATATATGAGATTATATATGTATATTTAGATATTTTCTTTTTACTGTGTAGCCAGTGTAAGATAATTCCATTTGAAAGCTCTACTGTTTTTTCTTTGACTTCTGTTTGTTTTTTATTTGTTAAAAAACCTCTTCATTTTACCTTTTCTTTACTTTTTAATTCTTTCTTTCCTATGAACTTTCATGATAGATTTTTTTACCTTATTTATTTATTTATTTATTTATTTATTTATTTATTTATTTTTAAAGGTGTTATTTATTTATTTGGGGGAAAGAGAGACAGTCCACAAGCTGGAGGAAGGGGCAGAGGGACAGGGAGAAACAGACTCCTCGTTGAGCAGGGAGCCGGATGTGGGGCTCGATCCCAGAACCCTGAGATCATTACCTGAGCCTAAGGCAGACACTAAACCGACTAAGCCACCCAGGTGCCCCTTTTTACCTTATTTAATAATGATAATACCCTGTGTCTATATAACACTTTCAACTGTGTATTGTTCTTTTCAGTGAAATTAATTTTTAATAATAAATAATAAGTGTATAACAATTAATAATATCAATAAATGATTTAACATTAATATTAAATAAATTAATATTTAATAGCAATATTGCTAATAAAATAACACTAATAAATAATGGATTTATTTATTTTAGAGAGTGGGGGGAAAGGACAGAGGAAGAGAGAGAGGGACAGTTTTTCTTTTTAAGATTTTATTTATTTATTTGACAGAGAGAGACACAGCAAGAGAGGGAACAACAAGCAGGGGGAGTGGGAGAGGGAGAAGCAGGCCTCCCGCCGAGCAGGGAGCCCGATGCGAGGCTCAATCACAGGACCCTGGGACCATGACCTGAGCTGAAGGCAGACAGTGAACAACTGAGCCACGCAGGCACCCCGAGAGAGAGACAGTCTTAAGCAGACTCCACATGGAGCCCCAATATGGGACTCCATCTCATGACCCTGAGATCATGACCTGAGCCAAAATCAAGAGTTGGGTGCTTAACCAACTTCACCACCCAAGCACCCCTCAGTGAAATTAATTTTTATTCATGTTTTTTAATTGTTAATTTCATCATTTGTTTAATTTCTTAATTTTAATATTTAATAGCTGATTGATGAATTATTAATAATATTAATAAAATATTAGTATATGTTTCAATGACATTAACTTTTAAATATTTATTCTCAATCATAAATTTAACCTGACCCCATTCTCTTACATCTTTCTCTAAGAGTTCTCTCTCCTTATTTGCTAGGACAGTGCACTTAAGTATCTGCATATTTTTACACAAATTATAAACTAATTTATAACCCCTAGAACTCCATCTCTCATCCTTGAAAACTCTTTAAAAGACAACCATTTTTCCTTTGCAGAAACTAGATCCCATCACTGCTATAATCTTACCACCTCAGTTCCCACATTCATGTCACACAGCCCAGCTTCTTACTTGAGGTTCCCAGCCATTCAACTGGTAAAATATTTTTCTCCAGTCGATTGCTATCATGCATTTTGTGCCCAGTTTTTACAGGACATCTCACTCAGTTGGCAGTTTCAGCTCCAGAATGTGACAAAAACGAGAAAAAGCTCATATTCTGATTAGAACTTCCTCTAACTGAAGTTTTGGCTTCAGTTACACATGTGTAAAAAGGAAACAGGAACTAAATGACACTGAAAGAGCTTGCTACAGCAAAAGCCTCAAAATATAAATTCTCAAGTTTATCCTTTTTACATTTCTTCAGTATTTTGTTGTCAAAGAGGACAGAAAGTAAACCTTGATAAATTTCACATTATCTTGGAATTCCTACACAGATGGCAGAACTAATAACAATACTTTTACTATTACTCTTATGGTGTGATAACATAAAACGATGGTTTATTGTCACTTACCATGATCCAGAAGTACTGATGAAAGACTTAAATAGAACTACTTTGAAATTAAGACCCTACATAGTCAGTAAAGGTCAAATGTTGATTCCTGTGATGTTTCTGAGTCATTCATACACTCATAAAATCTTTGTTTCCATTCCTGAAACAGCTCCTCACTATAAGAAAAAGAAACAGAAAAATTAGTTCTTGCAGTCATGATGATGTGTTAGCTGAATGAAACAGTAAGGCTGAAATGGCCAGTTGAAGGGAACTGTGTTCATCTAGTTCAAGAGAAGAGAACATGGAGTATAGTTGGGAAAACTCCTGATACTTAAGATGGCTGGAACACAAACTGTGTGAGGTGAAATGTGAGAAAATAACTTTCTAATTAACACAAGGACTCTATATTAAACTGAATTTCATGACCTCTAAGCCCTAAGATCATGTTCACTTTCTTAGGAAACCCTGTGTTGACACCATATTTAAGATACACCGACATGTTTTTACATGGTGAAAAAACAGGGGACACTGAGAGCTATTTTAATTTCACTTAGGAAAAGGATTTTTTTTTCTTTTCTGAAACAAGAATTTTTTTTTTTAATTAGGTATATACTTAAGAGACAGAAATAAGTGACTAATAGTCTGGCTGTGAAAAGAAAAAAGTCCCTTCAGGATCATTTCTATTCAATAGAAGGAACTATTCCAAGTGACTAATGTAAAAGTAATTTTATCAGATTTTTTGTTGGAACACATCACTGACAAAAAAAAATTACAGGAAACAGCAAAAACTCATGAAAATTATTCAGTCTTACTTGACCTCTGCCCCACTTTTCTTGGCCTTTCTGGTTTTGACAACAGAATGGATGATAAGTGTATTCAGTGTGAGAGAAATATAAAAGCCTGTGTATACTATGTGAAAGAACACCGCCTTTGGAGCAAAATAATCCCAGCCCAAACACAACTCTTAAAACGCAGTAGTTTTTTTACTTTCCATATATATATGGTAGGCAGAATTTTAGCCCCTCAAAGATTCCATGTCCTAATCCCCAAGACTGTGGATATGTTACCTTACATGGGAAAAAAATTAAAAAACTCTTTGAAGATGAGGCGCCTGGATGGCTCAGTAGGTTAAGCCTCCAACTCTTGATTTCAGCTCAGGTCATGATCTCAGAGTTGTGAGATGAGCCCAACGCAGGGCTCTGCATTGAGTATGGAGCCTGCTTATAATTGTCTCTCTCCCTCCCCCTCTGCACTTCCCCCTGAACTTGTGTGAGTTCACTCTCTCTCTCTAAAAAATAAAAATAGAAAAAAATAAGGTCTTTGAAGATGTGGTTAAAAATCTTGAGATGAGGGGCACCTGGGTGGCTCAGTTGGTTAAGCATCTACCTTCAGCTTGGGTCATGATTCTGGGGTCCTGTGATCAAGCCCCACGTCAGGCTTCCTGCTCAGTGGGAGCCTGCTTCTCCCTCTGCCCCCTCCCTGCTTGTGCCCTAAATCTTAAAACAAAACAAAACAAAACAAAAATCTTGAGATGAAGAGATTATTCTGGAGGATCTGAGTGGACTCAATTTAGTCACATGGGTCTTTCTTCAAGGAAGGCAGCAATGTTACCTAGAGAAAGGTTTGAAGGAGCTGTGCTGCTGGCTTTGAAGATCAAGCAACCCAAGGAATGCAGGTGGTGTCTAGAAGCTATAAAAAGCAAGGAAACAGATTCCCCCCTAGAGCTCCAAAAGGAACACAGCTCTATCAACAACTCGAATTTTGCTCTATAAGATCCGTTTTGAATCTCTGACCTCCAGAACTATAAGATAATAATTTCTAATTATTAAAACCATAATTTGTGGTAATGTATTATTACACAAATTATTATTACAGCATATTAACTAAGTTCTCTCACTCTCAAGATCTATATGGTAACAGGCTTGTTCTGAAACATGAAATCTATGATTTAGGTAAAGGTATCCAATAAACTTCAGCTGTTAAATACTTAGTGTTCAGGTACTAATAGTTTATGCCTGCTTAAGGAAACATTATGAGCTTTAGTATCTAAAATGTTCATGATGAAGCTTTGCTCTGAAGAATATCTACAATCTTTTTTCTTCCAGTTTCAGATAAAGCCATTTCCCCCAAGTGCAGAACACTGGCCAGAGCTTGTTCTGATAGTCCAGTGCCTGGGTTTAAATATTCTGAATATCAGTGATTCTTAAGGGTAGGAGAAATGGTATGTTTCATCCTAGTGCATTATGCAAAGGATCTGAGAGAAGGGAGGGAAGCCTGCTAAGCAAAGCAACTATTGTTAAGTAGCTCAGCAAAGAAAGTACCCTCTTCAGGAAGCAAAAATACTGAGCATGAGCAGTCTGTGATGAATTGCGATGGCCAAAAAATGACTGTGTGCAAGACCAACTACATGGACATACTGTCTGTCCAGCAGCAGATCTCTATGCTCAAAAGGGCTTCCCACTTGGTTTAATATGCCAGCATTGATGTCTTCAAATTATTACTACTATTTAAACAAGACACTCCACATTTTTAATCTGCACTTGACCCTGCAAATTATGTAGTATGTCCTGACTCTGTGTGCATGAAAGAGGTGAATCAGTTTTGACCTCATCTAACATAGCTTTCATTTTTACCTAAATGTTTGTTCTCAATTTTCAGATTATTATAGAGTCATATGCAGGTATGAGAAATATTACAGAAAGAACCCATTTTCCCTTTAGTCAGTTTCCCCCAGGGTAACATTTTAAAAACTACAGTATGCTTGGTTTCCACATCTTTGCTTAGTAAAAATATCACAAACATTAATTCACCAACATCTTACATGTATTTACATATACACATTCATACATATAGAAAAAGAATATGCTGTGCCCGTCCTAAAATAAAATTGAATCAAGAAGAATGCATTAATGGAGCAATGGGTATATGCACAAACAATGAATCATGGAACACTACATCAAAAACTAATGATGTAATATATGGTGATTAACATAACAATAAAAAATTAGAAAAAAAGAAGAATGCATTAAAATCAATCAATTAATTAATTAAAACTACAGTATGATATCACAGCAAAGATAATGACATTGACACATAGTCAGGACACAGAACTATTCCAATACCACATGGTTCCATCAGCAGGGCTTAACATCAAAAACTTTAAAAAATCAGCAGGCTCGGTTCTGAGAGACCCTGAGGGTGATGAGAAACTGAGTCCCAACCCTTAAAGAAACAGTATAACAAACAACCCCGCCTAGGTATAGCATAAAAGCAGCAGTTTGAAAAGCATATGGGGTATGCAGAAAGATTTATTTCCTGGTCTCAGAGCATATACAGGAGGGGCAGATACCTTTGGGAGACTTCTCCAAGAACAAAGGAGTTGGCTGGTGCCATTTCTCTCCCTGCCCACCAGCCTAGAAACACAGATACCTATGGGAATCAGACCAAACACTCTCCATCTAGCTTTGCTGAGATTGCGCCCTGCCCCTGCATTCTCTTACAGACTGCACCATCCAACCATCCCCATTCAGCAGAGTCCCTCTAAAGTGGCTACAGGTCTCATCCTGCAAACATCCCCAAAAATGGCCAGCACCACTCCAAAGAGTCTTGCCCTGGGGCGAGGGTAAGATAACTACACACACCAGTATGATTATAGCCCCAGGAGCGGGCTGAGGGGAGGCATCTAGTCTGACCCAACTCAAGCCCAAGGTGGTCTAAGACTAGCCCCTTAACAGCACAGGGACCAAACTCTGCCCATAACAGGCAAAGAAAGCATTGCAGACAACTGGACTGAAAGCAAAAACATCTCAATCACAACAGTAGGGCACGTACAACACATTTAGGAGACATCCCTGAAGCACCAAGTTCTGATGCAGAGGGGACATTGCACTACAGGACACTACCAGAACTCTTCTTCATAAGGCCACTATTTTTAAGAGCAGGAGATGTAGCTGACTTTCCTAACACATAGAAACAGACACAGAGAATTAGACAAAATGAGGACACAGAGGAATGTGTCCCAAATGAAAGAACAGGGCATAATCATAGCAAATAAATAAATAAATAAGTAAATAAAAATTAAAAAAAACAAAGATAAGCAATATGCCAGATAGAGAATTCAAAGGATTGGTCATAAAAATAGTCACTAGACTTGAGAAAAGAGTGGAAGGGCCAATGAGACCTTTAACAAAGAGATAGAAAATGTCAAAAAGAACCAATCAGAGATAAAGAACTCAATAACTGAAATTAAAAATACACTAGAGGAAAAAAATAGTAGACTAGAGAGAGCAGAAGAATAAATCAAGGAGCTGGAAGATAAAGTAATGAAAAACTATCAAGCTGAAGAAGAAAAAGAAAAAAGTAATAAAAAATATGAATAGGTTAAGAGAACTCAGCAATGCCATCAAGCATAACATTTGCCTTATAGAGATACCAGAAGGAGAAGAGAGAGAAAAGAGAAAGAAAAATTAATTGAAGAAATAATAGCTGAAAACTTCCCTAATCTGGGGAAAGAAACAGAAATCCAGATCCAGGAAGCACAGAGAACCCCAGCAAAATCAATCAAAGGAAGCCCATACCAAGACACACAATAATTAAAATGGCAAAAAGTAGTGATAGAGAATTTTAAAAACAGTGAGAGAAAAGAAAACAGTTACATACAATGGTAACCCCATGAAGCTATTAGCTGATTTTTTAAAATTTCATTTTATTATGTAACCATACAATACATCATTAGTTTTTGATGT